GAGAAGGTCATAAACAGTGCTGTCTACTGTTGTTTCATACAATTGGCAGTCGTATATAGCTGTAAATTGACGTTTGGTAGGCGCGATATAACGACTATATGTTATCGTGTTGTACATAGTTGGTAAAGGTCTGACAATCAAGTATTCGATCGTTTACAATACAGGAAAACATGATCATAATATTTATGACGATGAAACGAATGTGCTTGTTTGACTTGAATATTTTTTAGTCGATGTCTATTAGTGATTAATATACAGTTGATTTATATCATTCAAAAAAATATTTGTGAACATCAAGCATACGTTTTTCTTCATGATTTTAAATGTATTTTGCATTTTGATTTCTTATAGAAGAAATTTTTGATCTTATTGATGTAATCAGACGAAAGTTGTAAAAAGACTAACACCCTTCTGACGATGTCTACAGAAGACATGAAGATCCTTTGATAATGCTTCTAGAAGAAGCTCAAATTCCTCTTTAAGTGAAAATCAATTGTTAATGAAGCGGAAGGGTGGTCGAGACCCCTGTCGTTACGCCATTACTTCTAAGCTCTAGTCTATTTTAAAACAAACATGTATTTCGATCATTCATCATCAATACTAACATATGTAGAGTTATTAATATACAGATTTTTTTTATTCCACATATCGTCATATGATTGCAAGTTCTGGCAGCGTACAAAAAATTACACGTACTGGTCCCTAGATTTTGCATTCTTAGACGATTGAATAAAGCGAAAACAAGAAATAATATCTTAATAGAAATAAAAAACAAGGATAAGCATATTTTTGCAATATTCTGAACATTTATATTATTATTTAATCGAAAGATTTGCCTTAAATTTACTTCGTATCTATGAATGAATACTAAAAATCAATTGTGTCTTTTTGTTTTATTGCCACATCAGGCACAATTTTAACAAAGCAGGTAAAAAAAAAAAGGAACATTTGGAAAAAAGAAAGTTGAAATAGATAAAGTATAAGGTTTTGTTGTTTTATCATTCATATTGAATTCGATATTTTTCGTTTTGTTAATGTAATCTTTTCTTTTCTGCTTTTACATGAAAAATGAAGAGACTACATAAGTAAAATAACAAAAAAGAAAAAAAAAGAGATAATAAAGACATAAGTAATAATAATAATAATAATAATAATAGCACAATGTTTTCTTTTGTGTAAACGGTGATCAAAATACAAAAAGAAATGAGAGAGCAAGAGTGAGAGAACGTTGGATTAAGAATGTTTATATTTATTTATTTATTTTTTTTTCTTTCATGAGTATATTTCAATTTGATATTTTTATTCTATTTAGATTTGGTTTTTTCACTTATAATTGCAGCCAAATCAAGATCAGATTTGCATGTTGCTTGTAAATGATTACGAATACCTTGAAGAGCATTTTTTAAAGCATCTTTGCTTGATGCACATAACATTTTACGTTTAATTGTTGCTGTATCTGGTGCCCTAAATATAACAAAATATTAATAAAAAAATAAATAATTAAGAAATTTCTTTTTTTTTTACCATGAAATAAAATATATTTCTGCACGTGATCCTTCACTTGTTTCATAGAATATATCAATTATAGCATATCGTACATCATTTTCTGGTAATTCTTCAAGCATTTCAGCCCATTTTTTATCTAAAGATTAGAAATATTAAAAAAAGAAAAAAAAGATATAATTTGGAAGATTTTTTTTTTTACTTTTTTCAGCTGGTGGTGCATTGTTTGGTGCTGTATTAGCACCTTCTTTTAGGATAACAATTTTAGATATATCATTACTAAAACCAAGTACAAGGTAACCAATCTGTTTTTTTATTTTAAATTCATGAAATTTTTCAATAACTGCATTATCTACTTTAACGCCAGATGCCTATTAAAATATACAAAAAATATGTTTATATTAAAAAACAATATATATATATATATGTATTTTATTTTCCTAACTAAAAAAAAAAGGTATTTAACAATTTCACTTCATTCAAAACTATCTAAGTTTCTGTTTTTTTTTTGATTCACCCACCATATAATGCTAAAAATGTTTCTTAGTTCAAATAGAATTCTTTTTTTTTATTTTTGTTCAAAAAAAATATTACACGTGTTTCTTACCATTATAATCTACGTAGTTTATATATATCTATGTTTAGCTCGAGAGAGATATAGCAGAATAAGCAATATGGAACTGTACAGTTGATGATAGTGCGCTATTTTGGATCGTTTCTATTTTGCCTTTCTTCTTCTTCTTCTTCTTCTTTTTTTTCTCTTTTGCCTCTTCTTCAATAGGATATATAGTAAAAACAATTCCATACAGTTCGCTGATGCTACGTTGTTTGTATGCATGATTCATAAAAAGGCGAAGAATAAGATAGAGCATCTTCCTTGTCTCATCTTTCCCGTTCTAGTATAAGACAACTATAATTATCATCCGTCATCAATAACGGGCGTATTTCTTCTAGACACATACACTGCATATATTCATCCGTGGGTGATTTTTTTTTTCTCCCTTTCGCTCTTGTTTAGACAGCCACATACATATAGAGCGAGAAGTTACGAGAAAATAGAGAGAAAATGATAGGGTCACTTACCGATCCAGACATGATGTATACAGTGTTGATTGTAAAGAGTAAATGTTGATATTGGTAAAAAATAAAATAAAATGGAAAAACAACGATGGATGTTTGTTCACAATGATCGGAAATAAATAAATAAAATGTCAATTAGATTCGAATAAGAATTATAAAAGACAAAACTATATAAAACTAGTTGTTTTTATATTCAAATTATTCGATAAATCAAGAATAAAAAAAATATGAGTGAAAAGATTATGTTTATTATTAATCATTATTGATCATACTCTATTTTCTATATATATATATATTTTTTTTTTAAACGGATGATGCCTATACAGACGGAAAGTTGATTCGGCCATTTAAATGACCAAATAAGGAAAGAACGTGAGTCAGACGAAAGAAAAAAGAACGAATAAAACAATGAAAAACATATGTTTTTTTAACAATTGACAATATATTCAATGACTAAGTTTAGTTTTTTTACTAAATAAGGTAATTTCATTAAAGACATATTTCAAAATTATATTTCATCATAATCATATTGAAATTACATGATGAATGTCCTCTGTTACTGTTTATTAATTGGTCTGAAGTTAGCCAGTCATATGTTGATTAGTCATTGAGAGAGAGAGATGTTTAAATCTTTTTTTCTTTTCTTCCTTTCTTCGTTTTTTTTTTGTTTGTTAAACAAACACATGACGATTAATAATCGTTGTTACAAAAATATTCATCATAAGAAAATACACTTACATTTGTTGTTAAGGCTTTTTTCAACTTAAAAACAAATCGATCTTACGTCAGATATATTCAAATCATATGAAAATCTGAAGATATGTTGAGACTATAGTAGAGAGGCTATATGAATATATTCAAGTTTGTAACATGATGTTTTTGGGAAGATATTCAATAAACAATGGTTAAATATCGGTCATTTGATAATTCAAAATTTTTTATGAACTCTCATTCTATATATTTTATTGACTTTTTTTGTTTGAAAAAAGCATGTTAGACTAAAGTGCCTGATGCAGTTCTTTTATTTTTATAAATTCTTACTTTTTATGTGGAGAAGAAACAAAGAAAAAACACACACTTCATCTTCAATTTCGTGTCGCGATGAAAAAAACGAAATTTTTTTTAAGCAGAAAGTGACAGAAATCATTGAGAATTTTCGACAACAATATCGTGCTAAATAAATACTTGTATTGTTTGTAAGATGATTCAATCTTAAGTAATCAGAGATGGGATCGATTCGGTTTTAAAAAAGTACGAACTAGTCCTATCTCTACAAACTATTTACTCATACATCTCAAAAAATCTGAAACTGATGAAAATTTTTGAAGAGGAGCTTTTATCGAATTGATAATTAATTACAAAGAACATCTTTAGTCATTCGATTGAGAACAAGTTTCTAATTGAGAATGAAGGTTAACTACTCTAAACTATAGCTTTCTTGTATTACAGATAAAATGTATTATATGTTATTGATAGATGAATCTACATAGATTCAGTGATTTAAGAAATTTTCTCCTTTTCAAATTTAATGAGGCAAACCTTTTTCATTTTTGATTATTCATCGATAATATAGCTCTGAAATGTTTCGAGCATTTAATCATAAACCCTAATACTAATGAATGCGACTAGGTTTCTATCAATCTACTTGGAGAAAAATACTTCTAATATATAGAAAATATTTTGCTTTTTCTCCAAATCAATTCTTACGTCAAAAAAAAGTGTGGATAATAGCATGTATTTTGATCTTTTTAGTCGAATAAAAGAAAGAAAAAAACTAGGTACTCGAAGTAGTGTCTAGCATATGTAAAAAAAATTTTCAGTTCTACGGGATATATTGTGATCGAAATATACCCTAGAAGGAAACATTTAGGAACTTTGGTCTAAGACAAATTTTGCTCTACTTATAGAGATATATATACAGTTAAAGATTCTAATTTTTCTGATGAGCTTTTCTTCAGAAATCCTAGTAATTCCTCATAACAAGAAGAATTAACGAAAAGTTGTATGCTAACCGAATGTGATAGATAATTCATTTTCATATCTATTCTATCAATTTTATGAACGTAAATACAAATTTATTTTCATTATTTAATCATAGAATATAATTGAAAGGAAACTATCATAGGTCTTACTCGTTGTTTTGATCTATATAATTACTTCTGACTATTTAGTAGTACTACTATTTATTGTTTTCTTCTATCAAAAAACTACATATTAAATAAAAAATTAATCTTTGAAAATTTCTTAGTCATTGATTTGAAATGTTCAATATACAATCAATAAAACTTTCATCTTATTTATTATATTTAAAAGAAAAGAAAAGAAAAGAAAAAAAAAAAAGAATTTAATATTCTTCACCACGGGTAGTCTCATTACTTTTTTTTTCCGAAATAAAATAAAATATACGTTAACGAACAATGTATCAACATCGAGCTATGTATAATGGTGTATATGCACCTTATCCTACGCTTCCTTATCATCATCACCATCATCCTGGAGTTAATGTCTGTTCACCATATGAAATATTGGATCCATTACCAATTCCTGTTGTGAATAGTTTTGCTCCACCATGTAATTGTGATTATTCATGTAGACGAAATGTTCCGTATGTTGATCATTCATGTTATGATTATGTTCCACGACCACCAGTCATTCAAACGAATGTTCATAATGATGTTTGTTATTATCTTGATGATCCTTATGATGAATATGATGATGATTACGGAAATGCTTATCAATTATCTCGATCTAAAGTTCAACTTGTCGATTTAGTTCCAAAACCTAAACCTCGAAGAAATAATAATCATATGGTTGTATCAACATTTCAACCCGTAGCAAGAAATTCACCAGAACGTATTATTATACCTCGTTCAACTGTTGTACGAAATACAACAAATCCTTCATATCAAAGACAAAGACATATGAGATTAATGCCATTATATCATTCAGCTGAACCACAACATAGAATATCAAATCGACATCGATCAGTTGTTAGAGAAATGGTTCCGATGGCAACTATATCAGACTCATATCCACATAGACAACCGATTAGAGTACGCACATTATCACCGTTGTAAGGATTAGAGAAAAAAGAAAGATTTTCTTTTATTAAAATATTTTTTTTTTTGGTAAAATTATATATATAAATTTTTTTTTCTTTACAAATAATGAAGGAACCGTACATATTGATCTAATGTTCATGCAAAACTTAAAGGTATTCAGTTAGAATTTGAATAAGTCAAAAACACAAATAGTTAGAAACCTACAGTTTTCAGTAATTGAAAGAAAAGACAGTGGATGCATCTTTTTTTTTTTGTTCGATAATATTTACGATGAAACCAATAATTTGTGCAAAATATTTAAGAAAATCGTATCCTTCTGAAGAAATTTTGATTTTGACATGTTTCTTAAATAGTTTTTCTTTGCTTTACTAGTAAGTAAAATCATCTATATTGGTCTCTATCAAACTAGAATAAGTTATGATATTCTATTAATTGGAACAATACAAATTTAATTTTAATTCACTTAAATTATGTATTCGAAAATCACGAGATTTATTCATTGAGCTCTAAATTGCACATATTATAAAAATAAACAACAAATCTTTATTGCAAATCAAAACATATCAATAGATGTACGAAAAAACTGTACCATTAATTAAGAAAAGCTTATTTCATATATATGGACTTGTTGTTTGATCAATTTTCGACGTTAGGAACAGAATAGCTTTTTTTTATATCTCATCAAATGAAGAACGAGATATAAATTAAAATTTTAATTATCCAAAAAGAATTATCGTCTAATGTTGTGATCCTCCAACTGTCACGCTAGATAAACACTAGTGATTAGATACTTCTAAAAATTATCTCACGAGTCCAATTGTATTCATTCAATTCTGATGAAACCTATGTGATTCAAACAGACATAAACCACCATTATACAGATCGTTAATCAGCAGTTATGCGAATATAGTTGCAATATGGGAGTATTATTATGTTAGAATGCAATTAAAATTGCTTTTGATATGTTCGATATGAAGATAAATGGGATACGACTCGACAATTTTATCTGTCAATAAGATAACGTAATGCTTTATACACATCAAAGAACATTAATATGCGGTACAGAGTATTTGGCTTTCCCTTTATAGTTAGATATAGATGACCAAAAGATAATTCTGATCTTAATGTTTTGGATTATTATGCATTAGACGCCATCACTAATAATACGCAATCTCATAAAGGTAAAATTTATAAATCTTTAATTGCTAAAATAACACAACAAATTTATCGCGTATCGAAGTCTAATGATGTTCAAAAACGTCAAAAATTGATCGAACAGAATTTTGTCTATTTTCCAAATGAAACGTACGTAGATAAAATAAACTGTTCTTTGTCAATTGTAGAATTTTTCTTTTTTCTATGTAATACAGTTATGTTCATTAACTTGCGTCATCTGTTGTTGTCAAGAATCATCCATTGGTTTTGATCAATTATCAATAAAGTTTTTATTTCAAATTGTGTGGAATGAATAATATTTAGTGAATTGATTTTCGACAATTTGAATTGACCTAACAATTATATTTTAATAGATTTGGTTTTTTTTTAGATGAGTAATTTTTTAAAATCAATTCAACCAACACTTAATGAAATAGTTTATGATTTAACTGGATTAACTGTAAGATATTTCAAGAAAGAAAAATTAATTTAATTTGATATTATTATGTAATTTATTTAGATTTCTGATCGATTTAATCCATATAAAAAATTATTTGAAGATGCAATTATACATCGTTCGAATATAAATGTTGAAAAAAGTAAAGTTGAAAAAAGTATTCAAGGGTATTTGATATTATTTTAATTTTTTTTTTTTCTATTTAATATCGTTTTTGTTTTTTTGATTATTTCTTAGATTAAAAGAAAAATATATAATTCATGCACAAGATAAAAAAGCTGATCTACTTCAGTTTATTGTTAAACGTTTTAATAATAAACCTCTATTAGATCATTCACCAGAAGTAAATTATTCACATAAAAAAAAAATTAATTAAATATTAAATTTCTTTTTATAAGAGTGAATTTCATCAAGCATGTTTACAATTAGTTATTTCATTAGCTCAAAAACCATTAGAAGTTAAACTTGATAATCTTTTACATCTTGTACAAGAACAAATTGGTAAGTTTCAAGATTTCTCAATAAGACTGATTTATTCTGAAATTATCAGATCTTCTAGTATCTCTTATATTATGATATAAGTGTAAGAAAAATGTTTTACTTTTTCGAATAATTGAATTTTCAATATTAGTTTTGAAGAATAGAAGATACTAAAAAAAATTTGATATTTTTTCAATGAACAATTATGAAAAAAGATCTGAACGAGATTCACGTCATTGTGTTGAAAAATGTATTATAATAATTAAAACTCAAAAAGAAAGATCTATCACAACATATTCTTTAGTTTCAATACATGACACTTACGAAACTATGACTGATCACAAAAGCAGTTTTATATACTTGTACAAGTTTCCAACTATCTAGTTTTTACTCTATGAACGTAGAATCTCTGAGAACTTCGATGATCCAAATTCAAGATGAGAATTTTGTCCATAGATAGAGTCACTATAAACGCTCTAAAATTTTCGAATTAGGTCTAAATGTGTGTTAATCGAGATATAGTTAGTCATCGAAGAGTCTTTCTTACGAAACATATCGCGCAAAACAAGTGTTTTTTTTTTAAATATATTTTAGCAAGGATATGTTTGTACTGACTCAAAATTTATGGTGTTTCTAGTGACTCTATGTATGAAACAAATTTCAGCTTAAAACTCGATCATATAGATTCTCAGTATTTTTACGCTCATAGGATGAAAAACTAAAAAGCCAAACTAGAACATATTTTTGTCACATGAAAACGATTGAACAGTTGAACATGTTTTCTTGTAAGTTTGAGTTGATTATCAGTTTCCTTTATGATTTATGTCAGATCTATATGTTTGATTTCATTGTAAAATTTTTATTTGTATTATATAGAAGAAGCAAATTTTGATTGGCCTGCGTATTTACTTGGTAATAAAAATGAACAACCGATAGTTTCAAATAATTGGAACGAAGTAAACATTCGATTATATTTCAAAATAAACTATTATCTTTTTTGATTTCTTCAGGATAATAGTACAGATGATGATGATGATGATAATGATAAAATTGATTCGACATTTATTCAAAATGATGATAGCAAAGAAATTCAAATTGAATCAAAACTTATTGATGATATTGAACAAAAAAATTAGTAAAAGAAAAATTAATTTTGTTTCTAAATTATTTAAATATTAAATTTGATTAAAATAGTTCAGTACTTGATCGTGAGATTATTCCATCATATTGGTATCGAACATTATCCGATGATGTTTCACCAGCTCTTCGTGATTTTGCTCTTTTCTGGTAAAATATTAAAATTAAATATATTTTTATAAATTATACATATTATTCTAGGGATCAAACTATGATTAAAACAACTCATTTAGCTTATCGAGTTAATTCACAAACATTAACTGAATATATTCTTATTCGAGAAACTCTTTGGTAAAATAAATACAAAGACTCCATACAATAAGATGAAAAATCAACTATTTTCTGAAGGTTTCCTTAAACATATATATGTCATGAAAGATTATGTGTCTTTCGGTGTTAGAAATTGCATTTCTATTAACGATAAGTAGTCCGTATGGCTCATTAGATTGTGTAACTGAAGTACATGTATATTTAAAATTAGACTTAATAAATGTTTTCTGTTCATATATAGTTTTAATATTAAATACTGTGATTATATATATCTTACTTCGCCTTAATAAATACATATCAATACGTGATAAGTTTTCTTTTTCTATTGCGAGATATATAGGAATTAGAATGTAGTAAAACCGAAATTACTGCAACTAGCTCTTGACAATGCGGCTGTTTTCTTTTCTCTGCAACAAAAATTAAAAATTTATCTATACACAAAATTGTTCGACAATTACTCAAATGTGAAATTCATATTTACTAGATAAAACATTCTCTTTATAGTTAGCTTTCAGCTTGGTTTCGATTTTTTTCTACAATAAGATATTTCACGAAGAGTACAGAAAAACTTTTGACACAAAATACTGACGAAGACACAGGTGCTTTTTTTGTGAAAAATTTTTTTTTTCTGAAGCATATCGTTTGACTGGGTTACAATATAAAAATTTGATTTCAAGTATTGTCTTTCGTACAAACAGCCAAAAGCTAACCGAAGAGAAAGTGCTTTATCCGATAGATAATTCGCACTATCAAGAGCTAGTTAAAGTAATATTGTTTTTACTACATTCTGAATGACATATACTTCGTGATACCGACAGAAAACTTATCAAGTATGTATACGCGTTTATTAGGACGAAAAATGGTACGTCTATTCGTAGCATTCAATGTCAAAGACAGAAAGCGTTCGTTGAGCCGAATTTTTAATAAACAGATATGTTGAATATACAAGCTAATGAATCATGTTGGCTACTTATCATTGATGAAAATGAAATTCATTACATCAAAAGATGCAGAATCTTTCATGCTGTATATGTTTAAAGAAATTTATAGAAAATGGAATATATTCCATCTTATTGTGCGTGATCCTTTCTTTTAATTTCTTATTTTCTATTGTTTTAGGCTTCTAATGAATTCTACACAATTACATATTTATGTTATTAATGAAAATAATCAAGTACAAGTTGCTGATTTTGTTCGTCTTTGTGATGTTACTCCAGTATGAAGAATAAATAAATGTTCTTTTTCATTTTAAATACATTGATTTTATTTTTTAAAAGATTACTATTCAAGATTGTTTAGAAAAATTTACTAAACTTTCTAATCAATTACGATTAGCTAATCAATTTTTAAAAGAAATTAATTGTTCTTGTCGAACATTATCATCATTTGCACAAACACTTCAAGATCAAATGAATTTAATTCAATATCAACTAGCTAATATTGAACGAAATTGTCTTAAACAGGGTTTGTTTTTTTTTGTGTGTGTGTGTGAAATTCATTTTTTTTTCTTAACTTC